CCTCCCCATGCAGGTGGTTTTTCAGAGTATGGACTAGACTTTTAAAACATTTCTTTGTACTGCATGCCTCAAATGGTATTCAGGGATTTCACTGCATTCATTTGCCTTGCTGATGAGATCAGACCTTGTGTAGTGGCTAATAAACTCTTGTTCACCCTTTACCCCTGATAATCTGTTATGCAGTACCAAAATAGCCAACATTTGTTTGTGTACAGTTAAAATATATTAATGGAATTCATGCTTTTGAATACAAGTCCATCTTGGTTCAGCCAGTGTCTGAGTCTCCTCAGGGGCAGGGAAAGGTTCTGCTTCCCCCAGAGGTGCTGGCACTGCCCAGGCTCCCCAGGGAATGGGCACAGCCCCGAGGCTGCCAGAGCTCCAGGAGCGCTTGGCCAGCGCTGCCAGGGACGCCCAGGGGGATTGTTGGGGGGTCTGGGCAGGGACAGGAGCTGTGTCCATGATCCCTGTGGGACCCTTCCCACTCAGGATATTCTGTTTCTATGAAACTTGGAATCTACTATGCTCAAGGAAGTGGGAAACAGCTTTTCTTACAGATTTTTTAGAAAAATTTGGGATTTCAAAGTTATACATCACAAACTTCTAAACAATAAAGTAAAAAAAGTCAGGATGTGATTTGTGGTGGATTAACCCCAGCCAGCAATTGAGCAGCACACACTGCTCACTCCCTGCTCCTCCCTGGGGCTGGGGGCAGAGATTTGGGAGAGTAAAAGTGAGAAAACTTTCGGATTGAGATAAAGACACTTTAATAGGACAGAAAAGGAAGAAAATGGTGATAACAATAATGAAGAAATGATTTGAATATACTAAACAAATGATGCACACTGCAGTTGCTCATCATTCACAGACTTCTGCCCAGCCAGCTCCTGAGACACCCCTGGCCAGTTCCCCCCAGTTTATGTGCTGAGCACAGTGGCATGGTCTGGAATATCCCTCTGGTCAGCTTGGGTCAGTTATCCCAGCTGTGTCCACTCCCAGCCCTTGCTGCCTCCCCTGCAGCCTGCTGACAGCTGAAAAGTGCTTGACTCAGTGTAAACACTGCTCATCACCAACTCAAACTTCAGTGTGTGATCAGCATCATTCTCTTCCTAAACCCGACACACCCCTGGAGCAGCTACCGAGAGGAAGACTGGCTCTATCCCAGCCAAAAGCAGCAGTGCTGCAGTTTGGCCAAGTGTCCACTGAGACTGGCTTGGCTGCAGCTGAGGGTTGTAACTATAGGCAGAAATACCCAAATGCCGCAAAGATTGTGACTTTTTAAAAAAGGCTGCAACCATTCATGGCAAATCAGTCTGACAAATCTGTGCAGTGTCTGAACCCAAGTGCTGCACACGGAATTTTCAGATGCTTACTGGAGCAGCAGCCCAGCAGCGACAAACACCATCCTCACACCTGTATTCCAAACTCTCAGCATTATGAGGTATTTTTCCCCAAGAGAAAAAGAATTGCTTTATAAATTGTTTAGCTCTTTTTTCATGTTTTCGGATTGAGATAGAAAGAAACCATAGGCTTTCAGCAGCTGAGTTATTGTTGAAATGTTTGAAATGTTTTTAAATAGATTGTTTGGAAAATAAAGGAAAAAAGATATTTGGGGGCTTTTGTTTTGTTGTATTTTATTTTTTTTATTAATGCTACTCTTTCATTTTTTAATGAAATTTATTTTAGCTTTTACTTAAGAGTATCTCGTGCACCTTGTCTTTTATAATACAAGTAGTTCATGAAAATCCAGACTGTAGCTGGTTTGAATTTAAGTAATTTCACAGCTTTCAGTGGAAGCCAGTCAAGTTATGCTATTTTAGATTTTTTGAGGATAGGAGTCAGAGGTTTTGCTGCTGGAGTGAACATGATGTGAGTGAGCAGAGCATGACCTCCAGGAGGGGAGAAGGGACATAAGGAGGCCAGGGACACTTTGTTGTAGTTCCAGCTTTCCTGGCAGCCTGTCTTACCTGGGAGTCACTTCCTAAAGAGCCAGCTTGGAACTGCTGCCAGCACGGAGCCCTTTGACTTTATCAACCAGAAGTAAATGGTCTTAGGGACTTGTTTTTAGCCCAAGTGGGACCTGACCCAGCCAGATCCCCCTGCCCTGAGCTGAGCCAGCATGGGCAACAGGGGAGGGGATTGTGCCCCTCTGGCCCTCAGGTGAGACCCCACCTGCAGAGCTGCCCCAGCCTGGGCCCAGCACAGCAAGGAGCTGGAGCTGCTGGAGAGAGCCCAGAGGAGGCTCCAGGATGAGCAGAGGGATGGAGCAGCTCTGCTGGGAGGAAAGGCTGCCACAGCTGGGATGGTTCAGCCTGGAGAGGAGAAGCTTTGGGCTGAGCTCAGGGTGGCCTTGCAGGGCCTGAAGGAGCTGCAGGAAAGATGGAGAGAGACAATTGCCAAGGGCTGGAGGGACAGGACACAGGGAATGGCTCCCAGTGGCAGAGCACAGGGCTGGATGGGATATTGGGCAGGAATTGTTCCCTGGCAGGGTGGGCAGGCCCTGGCACAGGGTGCCCAGAGCAGCTGGGGCTGCCCCTGGATCCCTGGCAGTGCCCAAGGCCAGCTTGGACACTGGGGCTGGAGCAGCCTGGGACAGTGGGAGGTGTCCCTGCCATGACAGGGGTGGAATGGGAAGAGCTTTCAAGTCCATTCCAGCCCAAACCATTCTGAGATTCTCTGAAGTGGTGGATGAGAGAGAATAGTCTTCTTTAGCTTAAAGACATGGAACCTTATTGCTTCATCTCTGTACATGGACATGTAGAGGACAGAACAAAAGATAATAAACAATTTTTGCTTTAAATCCTTTTTAGTAAATAAGCATTGATCTGTGATTAACATTTTTTTCCAGCACTTCACACTTGAATAGCTGATAATAAGCACTGTGTGTATCAGCTTGGCTCTGCCATTCTGGTTAAGCAACATTATAAAAAGTTTTCTAGTTTACATAACAGTATTGAGGAGGTGGGGAAGAGTGGGGGGATTTGTTCACTTATGTCTGTAGCTGAGATCATTCTGTGATGTTAATGGTGAATGACTATCAGTGAGTTTAATTTTCAAATGCTCCCTAAATCTATTAACATAAGCAGTTTATTTACAGATTATTTTTTTTTTTATTTTTTATTTCTTCACAACAGGTTTAGAAATGCACAGCTGTCTATGAATATCTTCATATTCCATGTTTGGAGTATGTAGGTTCTTTATAACATTCCAGGAGCCCAGTCCCCTCTAACTGCTGCACATGAGTGATCCCTACAGCACAAATCCCATAGCTTTTGATTTATTTTTTTAATGCAAAGCTGGGTGCAAGGCAAGTGCCCAAAATAGGTGAAATCTCAGTTTTCAAGCTCTTTAAGCCTTACATTGTTTTTATCCCTCAGCAAGATGGAGACATGAAATGAAAAACACAGACCCTACGCTCCACACTTTACACACATACATTGTGTCCAAATTAAAGCATCTTCCTAAGCAAAATCATAGGAATGGTTTTCCTTTTCATGTATTCCATGCTGGTGTGAGTAATCAAGTAAAATGTAACAATAGGAAAAAGTCAAATGGATACAACAAATCTATTTAATAAATATGCTTGGGAAAGCCACACTATATTTGCATCTATGTGTGAGACTGTCATTTCACTTGTTATGCTGGAGCTAGTTTGGTGCTGTGGTTGAAGTGATTTCAGTTTTCAGTAAATTGAAAGCTGATCTTTTTTGGGGAAATAAACCCAAATATTTCATTCCTTATTCATGAACCCCTGTCAGCCAATGTACTTTTATGTAACTGTAAAAGGGATGTGGAAGGAGGACATGACTGCTTAGGGTGTGAGAAAGACAACCCAAAATGAGTGGGTTTGGGACTAGTGAGATGTTTGCCCGTGGCTGGAGTTACAAAATGTGCTGTAGCTTCAAGCTTTTGCCTATATTCACATTTTCTCTGCTGATAATATGAGTAAGAACTCCTTATTTAAAAAATAATTCTGTTTTACAGCTGATGGTAGCACATATTTATACATTTGCCTGTGTAAATATAGCATCAAGATTTTTATCAGTATATTGCAGAAGAGTAAAGTTGAATCACACCAAAAACTAAACCAAACATTGTAGGGACCTTGTAAAATTTGTTGTTGTGCAAAGATTCAAGGAGAATATGTTGGAAACCCCAGAGACAAGTGAAAGTGGCCTTTGTGATGGATTGAGGGCTGCTTAGTTCAGGTTTCATTTTATTATGCAATTTCTCCCTCAAATATTAAATCTGACCTAGTGTTCTAAGAAGTATTAGAAAGTAGGAGATCAATGTAATCCTGGTAATTTGTCACCCAGGGAAAGCAGGAAAAAATAGTTAAATCAATTGTTATCAGAAATGTCTGAATGCATTTTTATTACTTTGTGGCATTTATTGTGTCCAGCCCAGAGCAGCACACTGGCAATCAGTGCTGATCGTTCCTTGATCGTCTGAGGCGCTTCCAAGGTCTAAATCCAAATTGGAGCTCCTTGGAACTCTGCCAGCCCCTGCTCTGCCCAGAAAAAACAGAGGTGGCTATGTTCAGCACAAGGATCCATTGATCATGAAAGGGCTGGTGGAGAAATATTGCATTCGTGATCAGTCTTGGGATCTCCCTTGTATCTGGACCTCTGCCTTAGCAGCTTATATCTAAGGCTTATATCTAAGCTCTAAAGAGGGATTAGGTCTAAATTAGGTGTTTCTACAGTTACCTTTCATCTTGGCCAAAATCTATTTGAAAGGATCAGGAGAAAATATGATTCCCTATCTATATTTCAACTTCCAGCCAGTAAGTGGCCAAACAAGCCAGCCAGGAGATTCTGCAAGGCGGCAGCTCCATGTAGCAAAACATCAAGTCTGCTCTCAGGATTTCATCAGTATTGATGTATTTATTCTAATCTTACCTTGATATTTACCAAGGAAGTCCTAGTTTTGTTTTACTAAATAAAAAAACCCTACTACATCCTAAAAGAATTGACAATTTTTTCCATTTTCCCTTCTTCCAGGAACTGAGTTGGGAAGCTGCAGAGCATTAAGGTGATGTGTTTAATGTGTGGTGGCATCCTATGTGCACAACAGTTGCAACAGGTCTGAAACTCCTCAGTGGCCCAAGGCGTTCTGACTTCCAAGGTGGAAGGGGTAGATTCTCAGATACTCCTGTGCCTACACAATAACCAAAAATGAAGGAGGACCATTGTTTACACGCTGCTCTCCTCTGCCTGGGAGTGCTGTGCTACAGCCACGGCCTGACCACGGAGAGGCTCAACCACTCCCGGCCCTCGCTGCATGGGCACCACGAGAAGGGCAAGGAGGGACAAGTCCTGCACCGTTCCAAAAGAGGCTGGGTGTGGAACCAGTTCTTTGTTATAGAAGAGTACACGGGACCAGATCCTGTGCTGGTAGGAAGGGTAAGAAAGAATTCCTTTTTCAGCCATTGATTAATATTCTAAATTTTTTATTATTTTTTGAGGGAGGTTTGTGGGGATTATTTTGTGGTTTTTGCTGTTGCCTTTGTGCTGTATAAGCTGTATCTTCATTTTCTTATAGGTCAGTTTAGGTGCTAAGCAAAGCCAATACTAATATTTCCATTGACCTCAGTACTCCTTGAATGAAGGTTCAGGCTGTTACTCAGCAAAAGAGAAAGAACCCCATCAACAACTTGATCAAAAATATGTCTCAAGAATATAATTCTCAGGTCTTTAAAAACAACAATTAAAAATTGAATGTCTAACCCAGCAGCTCAGTAATATAGGTATCTTTTGATCCTCTCATTTTCAAATTATCAGTAAAATATATTGAGGGCTATGTATAGAGGAAGGTAAATATCTGTGTGCATGTGGCTATGTGCACAGTTCCTGGAATTATTTTTTATTCTGCTACTGTCTAACACTAGTAAAATATAAACAGATAAATAAACCAGTCTATTTGCTAGTTTGTAAATGGGCAGCAGACCAGTGTTGACTTAACCCCAGCACAAAAAGGGAGGAGAAACAGGATCAATGTCAGCAAATACCATGCTGGGTATTCTGGTTTAAAATGATGCAATTTGTAGATGTCAATATAAAACCAAATTTGGCTCAATGTTTCCCTCATTTGTCAAACTGAAGTGTGCACTAGTTGTAGAATTAAGAATGTTTAGTGAGCATTTATTGCTTCTTTTATATTAGAGAGGATGTAATTAAAAACTGGTTGGCTGTCACAGAATCACACAGAATCCCAGAATCACTGACTCTGGAAAATCCCTCCCAGCCCAAGGAGTCCCAGCTGTGCCCAATCCCCACCCCCTCCCCAGCCCAGAGCTCTGAGTGCCACCTCCAGCCCTTCCTGGGACACCTCCAGGGATGGGCACTGCAAAGCTCCCTGGGCAGTTCCAATCCCTGAGCTCCCTTTCCATGGGGAAATTCCTCTGATATCCCCCCTGAGCCTCCCCTGGCCCAGCCTGAGGCCGTTCCCTCTCCTCCTGTCCCTGTTCCTGGGAGCAGAGCCCGACCCCCCCGGCTGTCCCCTCCTGCCAGGGACTTGTGCAGAGCCAGAAATTCCCCTTGAGCCTCCTTTGCTCCATTCTGAGCCCCTTTCCCAGCTCCCTCAGCCCCTCCTGGGGCTTCAGACCCTTCCCAGCTCCATTCCCTGCCCAGGACATGCTCCAGCCCCTCCATGTCCTTCCTGAACAGGGAGGCCCAGAACTGGACACAGCCCTCGAGTACAGTGTACTTGCTACAAGCCAGGGTGCCCTTGGCCTTCTTGCACACCTGGGTACAGCTGGGCTCACTCATTTATCACTTAAATCAATCAATTTGTCATTTAACAGCTTTTTACATGCAACCCAGTAGAACTTGATTCATTGAAGTGTACAAAATCCTTGTAAAAATTACTCCTCCTACCAGCTTCATGTGAATATAGATCCTGCTATAAGTATCTTCTTGTGTATTCTCTTCTTTAAATCTGAAACTTTGGGTTTAGCAGCGCCCTGCATGTGGCAGGAGGCACGTCTGGGCTGGCACTGCTCTGGATGCAGGGTACATGTGGTCACAGCATGTCCCTGGGTGTGGATTACTGCCTGGTGGAAGCCACAGTTGTTGAAAACTGAAATGATAGCAATTTCCTGTACTTCTTTGTTTCATAAGCACATCCAGGAAATGTGTGCCCCCTTGTTAAGGTGTGTCTGTTTCTCCTTTTGTAGCTTCATTCAGATATTGATTCTGGAGATGGAAACATTAAATACATTCTCTCAGGTGAAGGAGCAGGAATCATTTTTGTTATTGATGACAAATCAGGGAACATCCATGCAACCAAGACACTGGATCGGGAGGAGAGAGCTCAGTACACCCTGACTGCTCAGGCTGTGGACAGGAACACGAACAGACCTTTGGAACCCCCTTCTGAATTCATTGTCAAAGTTCAAGACATAAATGACAACCCACCCGAGTTTCTCCATGAAAACTACCATGCCAATGTGCCCGAGAGATCAAATGTAGGTGAGTAGAAAGGCACTGTCCTTGTGGGAGGTGCTGCACTGTCAGGACATCTTGGCTTTATTTCATTCTTATTGTCAAAATAAAATGTAAAATTTACTTCGTGTTCAGCCAGTGATTCACTTGATGTATTTAATCTGCTGCCCAAATCAAACCCTGCACAGCTTCTAACTGAGAGACGTTCCTAGAATAGAACTATTTTTCCTCCTAGGAAGGAGCATAAGAGTCCCCTGGAATTTATGGAGTTGTGAATCCTCTGGGGTCAACACGAAGATCATTCCTTTGGCAGGGGTGTGTAATAAAGCTGGGAAGTTACTGCCTCACCATCTATTCCATTTTCATCTTCTGTTTGAGCTTGTGTCTGTCTCAGAGATTTCTACAGGAATGATTTGTCTGAAACTTACTGAGAAAAATGTAAAGGAAAACTCTATTGTTTGGCTGTCTAACAACCAAAGCAATATAAGGCATAAACTACTGAGGGGAAAAAGCATAACGGTGCAGAGTGACTGCTGACTTTTATATCTTTGCTGGTTAGAACATTAATCCACTTCACAGCTGGTGACAGATTGTTTTGGGTCGTACAAGTATATTTTGCTATATAGAAATGGTCAAGTAATTTTGATTTTCATTTACCAAATGTGGAAACAAAAAAATTTTAAGAATAGCTCTGCTATGACTGAAAGCATCTCTGCACAGTCCTTCCAGACATGTTTGCCTCTGACTCTCCCTCCTGTGTTTGTTCTCCATTTTTAGGTACATCAGTTATTCAGGTAACAGCTTCAGATGCTGATGACCCTACCTATGGGAACAGTGCCAAATTGGTTTACAGTATCCTTGAAGGTCAACCCTACTTCTCAGTGGAGGCTCAAACAGGTATTATTGAAGAGTTTCTTTGAGCAGCACCTCATGACCAGAGTGCATCAAAGTGAACTAAATGTACTGACTGGGTGCAGCTACTGATGTGTCTGAGCAAAGCTTCCTGCTCTGCAGCACATTGGTCTCCTGGCATTTGCTGGAGCTTCTGTACCAGAAAGCTGATGCTATTTCTGTGTGTTCTGTATGCTGTGATGATTGAAACACTGTCTCTGTGCTCAGCTCTAATTCTCCAGGCCTGTTTTCTGTGTGGAAAATTAGGGCTGCTTTCCTTACAGCAATGCTCAGGAAAAGCAGAACCACCACCATCACTGCAAATATTGCTGTGTTTAATGCACTCCAAGTGCAGTAGCCAGGTTTTCATTAAATGTGTGTGTGCCACCTTCCTTTGTGCCTGCAGGAATCATCCGAACTGCCCTTCCCAACATGGACAGAGAAGCCAAGGAAGAGTACCACGTGGTGATACAGGCCAAGGACATGGGAGGACACATGGGAGGCCTCTCAGGGACAACCAAAGTGACAATTACACTTACAGATGTCAATGACAACCCACCAAAGTTCCCACAGAGTGAGTACCTGCAAAATAAGTTTCGTATCTCCTGCCAGGACTTGTGTTTGTGAAGTACCAGACACACCCAAGGCTTGAAGAGTCAATAACTGATGCAGCACACATGAATAAAGAAGTATTAGTTACTCATTTTTTGCTGGCAACATATGGAACTTTATTGTCTGGATTATTTACTTTGTGTTGCAAAGTGAGACATTTTTAGAGCCAGGATTAAATGGAAAAGATTCCTGACCCTACACTTCATTTTTGAAGCTACTGGGCCATGCTGTATAACTTATATGAGAAGACAGACATATATGTATATATTCTCCAAGACTCATATTTACCATGACAAAACAAACTAAATTTAGCACAATTACAATTTTTTAATTGTTAAAGTGTATTATTTAATTGTTAATAATGTATTAATGGAGGTCAAATATAGCAATTTTTTTTATACCTGAGCAATTTACTTATCACATATAAAATTAATCAGGGTTGACATTACCAGACTCAGCCTTCACAGCTGGTTGGAAGTACATTAATGGGCCCACACATCTGTTCTGCAGCTCATCTCTAGGCTTGGGGTTTTTTGAGTGCAGTGCAGACACCATCTCAGTCCACCGTGTTTCTCCTCTGAGTGGCACTTCTTACCCTGATACATCCTGGCCATGGCCATCCCTCTAACAGCTCTGACAGCTCTTCTTCCAGTGCTGCAGCTCCCTGGCCCCTCATACAAGAGCTGAATGTAAAAATCTGTGTCAGCATTACCTACTCTTCAAACAGAAGAGGATTAAATCCTAAAAAATCAGGGTTTATGTACCTTACAAACAAGCCTTTTCACTCCAGATCATAACCTGGGACACCAGGATACAATATTTTGTTATCTCTGTCAAATGATGGATTTACCTCTATGAATTCAAGCCCTTCTACTGAGTGTTTTCTGAGAACATTTTAAATTATCAGAAATGCCCAAAAGCAGTTCCTCTACTTGATCATTCACCCCCAGGTTAAATCTGAATTGGGAATGCTTTGTAACTCAAAACCAGGGTTTAGCTGTCTGTATAAACAGACAAATGATTGATATTTTGATATTTCTTATTTTCCTTTTTTTTGTTATTTTTAATGTTCATTGCTCAAGCTGTTAATGAGTTATATGTTTAAATTTTGGGCTCTTTGTGACTGGAGTTAATGACCTATTCCAGTGACATGTGGCAATTGTTTTTCTGAGTAATGAGCCAAGTCCCTGCCTGGTGTAAGTCTCCTGATGTTTCTAGGGTGCCCGTGGAGCAAAAAAGAGCAATTAAAAAGGGAAATAAATTATATTATTTTATTTTATCATCCCTTTTTTTCTTCCCTCCCCAGTTTATTACTGCTGATGATGTGGCAAAAAATGCTGATGTAGATTTATATATTTAGGATCAGGTTATATTATCTGAACTCTTGAGGGGGTTGGGGAAGTTCTGGAATCAAAAGTTCCTAAAAGACAACTGTTGGAGAGAGAATTATTCAGGATGAGTGTTGTTCTCCTGTGGTGTCCCTGAATACCCAGGGATTTTTGGGGATGGTTTTCCTACTGGAGCTTGCTGTGGGAAAGCCATTTTTGTTCAGCATGAAATCACATCCAAATTGGTACATACTCTCTGTGGTGTGAAATTTTGATAATCACTGTTGCTCTACATTCACATTCCAAATTCAAGCCATAGAAGGCAGCAGATTTATACTTAAGCCAGCACAGCAGACAGGATTTATCCAATTCACTGTATATAATTTATGGCTTTTGAATGAATGGGCAGAAATGAGAAACAGAGGTGAAGGTTTTACCATGAGCCATGTGAGAGTTTTCCTTCCATTTTTGTAATAACATCTCTGCTATCGATGGTAACCATGATGCCACAACAGTTTCTGCATTCTGGGTGATTGGTTGTCCTTCTCAGCCCCTCTCTGAGCAGAGGGTAACAGGGAGGAGGTCATGTTCTACACATTGTCCATGTGGGCTAAGGTTTCACAGCCGACTTGCTGCTCAGAGCTCTTTAGAACAGAACAGAGCACAACACAACATTCCTTCAGGGGGGTTGAAAACACCAAAAATCACTGGGTTTGTTTGGAACTTCTGAGTTCAAGGACTAAACACACAAGTGGGGAGCAGCCTGCTCACTTGGGCACATGCCTGTTCTCCCTGCCCCAGGTGTGTACCAGATGTCAGTGTCAGAAGCAGCTGTCCCAGGAGAGGAAGTGGGGAGAGTGAAGGCCAAAGATCCTGACATTGGGGAGAATGGCTTGGTGGCCTACAGCATCATCGATGGAGATGGCATGGACATGTTTGAAATCACCACAGATTATGAGACTCAGGAAGGGGTTGTGAAGCTTAAGAAGGTAAGTGTTGCCTACTGCTATGTAGTGTTTGTTGCTGACAGAATATTTGGTAATAATGGATTACCACCTAAGCTAAAATATTAGTAAATGCAAATTTCACTTAATTCATTTCTCAAGGTGTGATTAACTCTTAATATTCCATTTCCCCATTAGCTGAAGTGGAATGGAAGAAAATAACCAAGAAGAGTTACATAAATACTGTACAGTGGATTAATTGCACAAACTAAATGAATTCATAATAAAAAGTCACGGTAAAATATGATGCCATCAGCTTCATTGTTAATGAAGTTTTGCCTAGTGCTGATAAGTAGCAGACATTCACTGTTGCTTTATGTTCAGTCTGAAAAGCCTCATGCCCTATAGTTTGAATTCTTCAGCTGTGCATTGTCCACAATAGTGTTCTGAAGGAGTCACAGGCTATGAGAAAAGCAGCAGAGGGGATTTCACACACAGCCCATCAACAGGAGCTTTGAAAGCATTATCAAATTAATTTTAAATTGTAAATTACAGAACATAAATATTATTATTATGCAAGCATTATAATTTTGCCCTTTGTATCTTTAGAGCTATTTATCTCTCTGGGAGATAATCAGAACTCAAAGGAGAAGGCCTGGGCAACTTCTGGTCAGCCTCGTCCTGCCCTTTGGAGCAGTCCCTGAGGAAGGGACCCAGAGGTCTCTTCTGCTCAAAACTGCCCTGGTTTAATTTATGTCTCTGTTCTAGAGGTGGGAGTGGATTTTTTGTGTTTTGAAATGTGGGTGAGCTGTCATTCCACCCAGTCTCTGGTGCTAACATACTTTGTGAATTGTGGTTGGCACTTGCATCATCATTTTGAGGTGCAACTGTGCAGCCACTTCATGCCAATGCAGGTGCAGAGGTGCTGTGGCTTTAATCAGGCTCCCAAAAGGACTTGTCCCATGGGGCATTATTCCACCTCCCCTTTAGAAAGTGTTATGAGTTCTGTGGCTGGAGAGAACCACAGGAATGAAAGCACTGCAAACAGTCTTCGTATTTTCCCCACTACCTAAATAATTTAACTTATCTGTGTGCTATCTCATGGTGCACCCAGGAGCACTTCAAACCACATCCACCTGGAATGCCTGCCAGCCTGGATAAAGCCAGGCCTCTTGTGGAAACCCCTTTACCATCCCTTGCACTTTTTGCTGCCTGGAAGGCTGCATGGAGACAAGGTTAATTTTCCCAGTGCACATGATTTCCTCAGTGATACAGCAAGCAAAGAGCGAGACCAGGACTCTGTGGTGATATTTTGAGTGCCCTCCTATGCTGCTCCACACATAGAATGTAGCTCCTTCCATTTGAGTCTTTATGTTTTTAAATACACACATTTCAGTCCAAGCTTGTTGACAGATGCTCACATTTGTTTGATGTCATTGAACACTAGGGCACTGCCTGCTGCTCTTACAGCCTGGTTTCCCTGACTCTGGAATGCACTGTCTTCTTTTTTCTCACAGACCTTAGATTATGAAACCAAAAAGTCCTACAGCCTGAAGGTGGAGGCAGCCAATGTCCACATCGACCCCAAGTTCATCAGCAATGGGCCCTTCAAGGACACAGTGACAGTGAAAATAGCAGTGGAAGATGCTGATGAGCCACCAGTGTTTTTGAAGCCAAGTTACATTTTTGAAGTACAGGAAAATGCAGCGTCTGGTACTGTGGTTGGAAAAGTACATGCCAAAGACCCGGATGCTGCCAACAGTGCTATAAGGTTTGCTGCATTCTGTTTCCTTCTGAGCATTAGCTTTTGGGATTATTATGCAAGTTCTGAAGGAAGTATGATAGATCTACAGACACCCAGATAATTGAAACTTTAACCATCCAACATTGGTTTTGTGCCTTTGTTCCATAAACTGCCAGTATCAAAGCCTGTGTATTCTCAAAGCCTGTATCATACTATAGCTGTGTCTAATTAAAATACACTTCAGGGCATCTTTGGTAGACTCTATTCTAAATTAAATTTTCCACAAATATCTTGTCCTGTTATCACAGCATAGATTTTTCTCAAAATATCAGACTCTAAGATTTAGATTAGGGATTGGGCTGGGTAATTGTTAATTGTTTAAGTGTTAATTGTTAAAGCCCATACAGACCCCTACTTTCTGCAGTTACATTGGATCCTCTTGGAATTACAGAATCATGGAATGGTTTGGGCTGGAAGGACCTTAAGGTTTATTCATTCCCACCCCTGCCATGGCAGGGACACCTCCCACTGTCCCAGGCTGCTCCAGCCCCAATGTCCAAGCTGGCCTTGGGCACTGCCAGGGATCCAGGGGCAGCCCCGGCTGCTCTGGGCACCCTGTGCCAGGGCCTGCCCACCCTCCCAGTAAAGAATTCTGATATTATATTAGCCTTCTATTAGTTCAATTTTATTTGTCATGTTCTCAGTGTAACTTAAATTGTGAAGACCTCTTTTGTGGGTATACTTAACATTTCAAAGGATTTCAGCATGAAGTTTTGAAAGCCAGAGCTTTATAAAGCTGTAAAAATGTGTAGAGTGGATAATATTTGATAAATTGGTATGATCAATTAATATTCTGTGTAAACCAAAGATTGGAAGACTTAAAAGATCACCACGATTAATATGAAACAGAAGAGAAAACATATCTCAGTAGATATTTTTATCATGTTTTGTAAGAGAAGAAAATAAAGAGTATATTAGGGCTTTGATATAGAGACTTCAAAGACCAGCAATTTTCACTTATTACAAACATTCTGATGTACTGTTTTTCTAAATATAAAAATCAACCAGGTGATTCTCCTTTTAAAAGAATACATATTGTCCTTTTGACAATGGTATTGAGGGCAACAATAGGTGTACTTCTTACAGTTATTTAGAAATAGTAAATATATTGAACAAATCTGGATGCATGAAACTCCTAAGTCCTTTTCTCTAATTACTGACTTTCAATCTTCTTTAGATACTCAATTGATCGACACACCGATCTTGAAAGATATTTTGTTATTAATGCAGAAGATGGCAATATCAAGACAATAAAGGCTTTGGATAGGGAAGAAATGGCACGAATCCTGTAATCCTCCAATTGTCTCAGTTTGATAAACTGCAAGAAATCTCAGCAGAAATACCTCAGCATATTTGATCTTTCCTTGGATGCAGCTGGGAATTTGTTTGTTTAAGGGGTTTTCCTGCTTCTGTCTCATCTCAGTGTTGCCTCTCCTGCAGACAAACAGCACCAGGAAGCCAAAGTTCCCGTTGCAATCAAGGTCGTTGATGTCAATGACAATGCTCCCAAGTTTGCGGCGGCCTATGAAGCCTTTGTGTGTGAGAATGCCCGAAGCAATCAGGTATGGCCTGCCCATCCCTTCCTGTGCCCACCACCTTCCTCTGCTCCACCTTCCCTGTGCCCACCTTCCCAGAGCCCAACATCTTTCTCTCTGCCCACTGCTTTGTGCCCACCATCTTCCTGTCCCAAATACTTTCCTGTTCCTACCACCTTCCTGTGCCCACCACCTTTCTTGTTCCCACCACTTTCCCTTTCCTCTGTCCACTACTTCCCTGTTCCCCCCACCTCTCTGCACACACGGCTCTTCCTTTAGGGTGTTAACCCAGTTTTGTCCTGTCAGCTCCAGTGAAAGGGAATAAATGAACATCTGTTTTGAGGTTTTGGTCAGAAAGCCTCGAGCACCCAGAAAGGCACTTTATTTCTGAACTGCTATCTGCAGTTATCCAGTGCTTTGTGCACAGAGCGGGATCGGTCTTGACTGGGAGTACCCACCAGCACAGGGGCAGTAGAGCTGGCTGGGAGCAGCTTTTCCAGTTGTGAGACTGGTTTGGATATTATGGAAATACTCAATGTCTTATGGGAAGAATCCTAATGTGGTGCTTGTAGAGTCTGGCCAACAGATTTATTCCTGGCAGTCTGTGAGGAAGAGGGGTTAGGATCATAGAGAAATAGCTCTGCACATGATCTGTGCCTTTGCAGTCAGTGTAGCAGTTTAAAAAGGACTTTCTCAGCTGCTGAGTTTTCTGCAGAATTTTATTTGATCTGTTGTGTTACCATTAATTCATGTTCGTGTATAAGAATGTTGAAGGTGTGTGCTTGTACAGCTGTAACTCTGGGGTGGTTAATGCAATAGTAATTAAAGATTGCCTGTCGTAATTTGGAGTCAGCTCTGTTATATTTATATTTGAGGGGGGGTTCTGCTATTTTACAATTCTTAGTCAAGAGCTGTCTCAGAATGCTGCTTGTATGTGACGTACCCAGAGAAGGAGCTGTTTGTTTACAGAACGCTTTTCTTTTACAGCAATTTATTACAATTAGTGCTGATGACAAGGATGACTCGGCCAATGGACCAAGATTTATCTTCAGTTTACCACCTGAAATTATTCATAATCCAAATTTTACTCTCAGAGACAACAGAGGTTTGTTTGAAGATTCCTACTCTACCAGAATCCAAAGAAATGACAAAGTAGAACAAATGGCCAATGTAATGTCATGCAACAGCAGTCATTAACTTTGGTAGAGTGTCTTTCTCCGGGATTTAGGGGAGGAAGACAAAAGCATACAGCTGAGATGCAAGGATGTTTTTGGGAAAGTGGGATGTTTGTTAACTCACTTGAATTTTCTTGAATGTGTATTTTAAATTATATAATAATACCCATCAGGATTAGAATCCACTGCCATTTTATCTCCCAGGAAGAGGATAAAACCACTGCCAAGCACACAGTAAATGGAATTGGCAGATCTCCTTGATTTAGAGAAACCTAAAATTAGCTGAGACAGCATAAATTATTAGGCTACTTGTATTTGTTCACCACTGTGTATGCCAGCTTTTGTAAATTATGGATCACAAGAGACATGGGCTAGATTCCCAACGAAATCAAATCATTGCCCGGTGCAGGAAATGAAACGGGGATTTGTGCTGTGGAACATACCTGCGTTGGCCATTGGCTGTCTCAGGATCTGAATATCCTGATCCCTTTGCCCATTTGGTATTCACAAAATAAAGTAGAGCTCTGCATTCAAATTGATGGCAAGATGTAAGAAATTTGTAAGCAGAGAACCTCAGGCCTGGGAGAGTGTCAAAATTCAATTGATCACAACATAATAACATCAGCGACCTGAACTTGACAGAGGTTGAGGGAGCCAGAGAAGGTGGGTAAACTGAAAAAAAAAGACAGTCTTGGCCAGTTTACGTATTTACTCAATTTATTTCATTATATTCTGATTCAATGTTAATTTTTTTATTTCCATTTTACAGAAATTCCATTCTATTTTCATTTTATTTCCCTTCGCAGGGCAAAAACTGTTTCAGCTTCTAAGGAATTGGTTTTGATTAGCAAGCTTTAATGTTTGAAGGAAACTTGACTGTTTTCTGAATAGTAAAACTCGGTTGAACTGGTTTAAATAATGAATCCAAGAGTGCCAGAAGTACAAAAGGCAACACAATCCAGATACATGATTTCAGTAAAACCTGTTCTGTTGAGGCACACTTTATATCTCTCTCAGCATCTGAAAGGAGGGTAATTATCATCAGAGTTCCCAAACAAAATCTCTGTTATTGCTGACTGATCAAAGTAATGCTGTTGCCTAGTGCTTGACACTTGTACATACACAAGCAATTCACAAAGGAGTCAGTGCAGGGCATATATTTATTCTCTTTAAAGTAGTAAAACACTAGTTTTGAAAAATTCATATGTGTATTTTTAGGGAGGAGTAATAAAACATGTATTTTTTGCTTGAGACCTGGAGGCCAAGTTTCATCAAAAAATACATTTTATAGTCAACACATCAAATTGAAAATAGATTAGCAAGATTATAATCTATCATATAATCTGCTAGATATAATCTATCAGAGGAAGTGTAAATCAGAATAGAGATAATCTCAGAGGTGTTATGGTTCCTGACTCCATCCAATCCCATTCATCCTTCATTTCCATATGCAGCAAATTTGTTGCTGACAAAATTAACCTAGATAAAAGTGTGTTGTAATTGAAATTATGATGTCAGTTTAATGTCATGTTTCTACCTGACAATACTGCAAAAGATTATTTCAACAAGACAGTATTAAAGGACTGAATCTTCTCATATAATTTTCTTTTATGTATAGTCTGAGGAAATTCATCCATTTCCATCCTTTCTTTCCCTCATTTTGTTCCATCCTCGGTGCAATGATGTTGTTAATTTATGTATTTCCTGTGAGTTTTTTTTAAGTAAATTATACAAGAGCAAAGTTAAAAAATTGAAATTCTGTGTACTTCCATATAAAAAACTTCTCAGGGAGAGTATGTTACCATTTGCAAGTCAAATAATGTCCATGGTCATTCAAATTTATTTTTTTTTCAGTTGTAAGTCTAAGTATTCTGTAAGCCATGCAACAGCTTTCAGAGGGAATTGCTACTTTCAGAGAAAAAGGGCTTTATTAACTGTGGAGAACAGTTAATGAAAACTCTAGTGTTTGGGCCTATTACAGAACTTTAAAGTGAATACAGTCCCATAATTATAATTTAATAGAGTTTCTTTTTACCATCTCCTGAAAGTAATCACATATTGCAGTAATCCAAAAAAGCATAATCACATTCTACATCCTATTAATAACCCACTGTGTTACCAAGTCTTCAGCTGTGAGCCCATCTCCCATAGAAAACATGAGATAATGGCTTAGCCCACGCTGGGATAAAACACAGAATTACTTTTGCACTGTTTCTTTATATTATAGCTCATAAACAAGCAGCACTGTCTGCCTGGGCTCTGCTCAATTCTGCTCCCACTGAAGTCAGGCCTTCAGAAGAACAGCAGAGGCTCATGGCACTTCACAGCAGAGAGGCAGATTTTGAATAAATGGATTTCCTACTTTTAATCCTGCAGGGTCCTGTGCTGAGATGCCCTTTCCTTGGGTTCCTTCAGCCTGCCATTCCTGGAAAGGCTGCAGTCCCAAATTCACAAGATAAAGCTTTACAGAGCCTGAAATTAAACTTGTGAGCCCCTGAAAATCAATTACTAAAGTCCTCTTTTAAACTCAAACATATTCTTCACACATTTTCAACAACAAAATTTTGAAACACACGAACAATCAAGTCAAAGGATTTTGCCATGGATTATCCACAGTGATTGCCACTCCTGGTAAGGTAAGGATTTTAGATAGCTGGACGCTTGAAATTATTCTGTTTTCTGGCTGAGTCAGCACTCACACCTGATATAGGTGATAAAATTCACACTGCAATCAGCTCCTGTAATCTAGAATCCTCCTTACACAACCTATGTGTTAACAAGCCCCCAGAAGCTGAGCTACATTTGCCTGTGCACACAGGAAAGATTGGAAGTCATCAATAAGATCACCAGAGAAAAAGACAAAAATCAAAGGTCAGGGAAATCAGTATAGGGATCACCAATAAATAATGCAATTTTAGCTTCTAATTTTGAAGATTTCATGGAGATCACAGGGACTCTTCACTTGCAACACCTTTGGATGTTAGATAGCCAAGACAGTCATAGCTGGAAAAATGTGAAATTTTGGGAATGGCCTTGAGATGACTGTTCTTCTTCTTGTGTTAACCCCCATTGTGTTCATTAGACTGACAGTCAGGTAGTTCTCATATGTGTTAAGTAATAGTTTTAAGCTGGTATTGACATTTAACTTCTGTTGACTTAAAAAATGCCATTTTACCAGGATTATAGTTCTGCTCCTGGGCCTTGAAAATAATAAAAAAGCAAGGATGAGAATATTAGCTAGGATTATATGTTATCTTTTATCTGGTTAAAAAGGGGGGTTTTTTCCTCTTATGGATATTATGTTTCTTCTAAATATGAGAAGTGAACATAAACAGTAAAAGTTTAAAAAATGACCTTTTAGGCTTGATGTATTGTAGTCCTTTTTAAAATTGAACCAGGCATGTTGATCAGATTTTTCTTTTTAAAAATTTATGTTAAACTAAAAATCACTTCCCATTAAAAGAGATAAATCAGCCATTGGATCAAAATCAGCTTTACTTAGTGTAAGTGACAGCAGTGGACCAGACCAGTCTGTATAACAGTTGAATAATTTGCTGTCCTTTTCTTATTTCTAACTAGGAATACTATTTCAGCTGGCAAAAGGCAATAAAAATAAATAAATATAAATATAAATATAAATATAAATATAAATAATAAATGTATAGCCATAGACTAAATATACTACTATATGGTATTGTTATCCATTACACAGTGCTTTTGCAGCCTCAAGGCAGCTGTAGCTCAGCCCCCTGTTGATGTTCATATTTTTTGCCACAAGGATAATCTGTCCTGTTGTGATTTTTCATTTAATGGAACAGATCTTGGTTGTCCCATTGAGGAAATGAATTATTAGTTGCATTTTTAGAGGACTCTGTGGAATAGTTTTATTCTGGATCAATATATTAGTTCAAGTTAGCTGATAGGTTAATAGATATTAGATGTTGTATTCCTGTTTGTACCAAATCGTTATGGGGCCATTAATTTAAAGTCCTAAAATAAGGCTTCTGTCATGCAGACATTGATATCACCAAGATCCTGTAAAAAATTGTGCCTCAAAGTTTAGATGGTTCATGTAAACATTCAGGAGATTAAGAGGACTCTGATGGAGACAAAGGGCACCTCCAAGAGCCACAAGTAATAATCAGATTTTTATCAGTGTCTCTGTCCGTAGCAAATGTGACATTGTGCAAAGGAGAACAACTTGTCTTCTACCCAGTTGTTCTTTTTGTGAAACTCAACACCAAAAATCAACAGTTCTGTCATGCCCAGGGCATCGGGAGTGTGGGCTGGCAGGACAGGGGTAGATATGGGGGATGGATTCATTTGGTGTGTAACAAACAGCTCCTACCTAAAATATTCATCCTTTCTGGTGAAGTTCCTTGGAGAGTCAAGCAGTGCAAACATCCTTCTCATCCCGTAGATCGACCGAATTTGGGGACAGTTTCAGACCTTGTCTTACACCAGGGGCACTGCCTGCAAGGGTGGTTAATACAAGGCAAGAACACTTCTCTTTGGGTATAATTTATTCACAAATTTCCATGGAAATCACAGTGATTAGATCATTAGAAGAGGTTTTATGGTTTGCATTATTAAATTCTGGGATTTATGCTGACTCTTCAACAGGAAAACGATTAATCTGCAGAAGCCTGAGGCAGCAGTAAAGTGGGTACCTTTGGAGGTGAACAGTCCTCCCTGAGCAGATAAAATAAATGCTCTTTCCCCCCCCCCCACCTTTCTGTTATATAGTGAAAAATAAAGAACATGGCAAACCAGGAAAGGTTGTGAGGAATAAATCTTCAATATAAACTGGCTTTTGATGGTCTGAAAACCACAGATATGATTGCTTCACTTTATTTACTTTGGGATGTCTACAACCATTATAAACTTTGGTTCAGGCTGAACTGAGAGAGCAAGAGAGGAGGGGCACAACAAGGGAGCCCTGTTGGTGTTCCCCTGGGAGTGGGAAGCACAGGCTGCCTTACCCCAGGGTGTCATCCCACACTGTCTCCTTTCCAAGGCTTTAGACAGAGGAAGTGTGCAGGACCATCCAAAATGTCCTGTGCTGAGATGGCAGCTTGTTTTCTGTCCCCTGCACTAAGGCAGGTCACCTCTCATGAGGACAATGGCAAGATAGTTACAGAAATACTGCCAGGAGCTGGACTCATGGATCCCTGTGGGTCCCCTTCCCACTCAGAGCATTTTTGATTCTGTAATTTAATGCTTCCTCACATCCACTATATTCAGAATGTGCCCAGACATATTGTGCATGTATGATCCAGCTCTCTGAATTCTGGCTTTGGAAGTTTGGGTGAAAATCAGATTCTGATAAAACAGTGTTACCTTCAGTATTTCTTACTGAAACAACAAGGGTCAAATTTGCTCATACTAAGCAAATACTGGCTTTTGTTTTGGTGGGAGTCTCATTATCAGAGTCTATTTGGGGACAGATATCTATCTACCATGCTTTTAGGAGTGACTCCAAGAATACATAAGGGAGATACGGGTTTTACCCCTCCATTGAAAGCTTTAGTTCTGGAGCAGCAATAAAACCAGCTCAGACAGCAATAGGAAGGTCCAGCCATTTGGGTAGCAGAAAAAATATAGTGACTTTCTCAGAAAGTTACAGGTACTAAAGGATGCTATCAGACAGAGATTATCTGTGTTGGTTGTGTTAATTAAAGAATTAAAACTAAGTGTGATGATGTATGAATTAAATACAATCCTATAATTGCTCGAGTCATTTGAAAGATGACACTTTCTAATGGTGTGTTGTAGAAATAATGCTAAAGCCCCTGAAAATTGAGAGCCATTGCAGCGAGATAATATCCTTTTCAATATCGCCTGAGACGACGACTCTGGAAAAATTAATGATGATTTTTCTCTCTTCTTCACGCAGATAACACAGCGAGCGTGCTGGTCAGACGGGAAGGGTTCAGTCGCCAGAAGCAGGATTTGTACCTCCTTCCTATCGTGATCAGTGACGGCGGTGTGCCCCCGCTGAGCAGCACCAACACGCTGACGATCCGCGTGTGCGGCTGTGACAGCAGCGGCTCCCTGCTGTCCTGCAACGCCGAGGCCTACGTCCTCAACGCGGGGCTCAGCACCGGCGCCCTCATTGCCATCCTGGCCTGCATTGTCATTCTGCTGGGTAAAAGATGTTCCTTCCTTGCTGCTCCTCTGTACTTGTGTTAAAAAATAATCCTGCCCTCACCTACAAGATGGTGAAATTAATTTTTATAGGCAGTATTGATGTGCTGTGAGAGGTTTTGGGATGAGCTCAGGGTGGCCATGCAGGGCCTGAAGGAGCTGCAGGAAAGATGGAGAGAGACAATTGCCAAGGGATGGAGGGACAGGACACAGGGAATGGCACCCAGTGCCAGAGGGCAGGGATAGATGGGATATTGGGCAGGAATTGTTCCCTGGCAGGGTGGGCAGGCCCTGGCATAGGATGCCCAGAGCAGCTGGGGCTGCCCCTGGATCCCTGGCAGTGCCCAAGGGGCAGGTTGGACATTGGGACTGGAGCAGTCTGGGACAGTAGGAGGTGTCCCTGCCATGGCAGGGGTAGAATGAGATGGGCTTTATGGTCACTTCCATCCTAAACCTTTCTGGGCTTCTGTGGTATCTTCAATACTAAACACCAGTGAATTTCTGTAGATGTGCTTGGAGAATGTCCTCCTGTGGCCTAGTGCCAGCTAATTAGGGACACTGCTTAAAGGAGGTCATGTCTTAGAGTTCTTAGTTCTGTGATCTTCTCTGGATGACAAGTTCCTTATTGAGGTCAGCCGGGATTAATCGCCCCTGCCAGTTATTTCCCTCAAACACATCTTGTGTTGAAGACAGATGAGTGGCTTGGAAGACCTGCTTTTAAGAAAGTGTTTTCAGATGATTTAAAAAAAATATGCAATATTTTCTAATTTCCCTGTAGTATTTTATAGTGTTTCTTTTCTTATATACTGTATTTTATAGAAATTTGAAGTAAGAACGCAGAAGCAAATATGTCTTTGGAGGTTTTGCTTAAAAAAAATCCATTTTAATGGAAATGCCACTTGGAATTAGAGTTAAGCTTTTGGCATACAGGAGAGTATAAAGATTCATCTTTGTTTTGTTGCAGATATTCATGTGCTTGGGCTGTTCGAAGGCAGTGTCACAGTGTTCTGCAACACTTGGGGCCCCACAAACACATCCCTTGAATTAGTGTTGCAGTAATGAGCAATTAGTAAGAGCAGTGGCATGCTGCCCAGACAGAAAGCCTCAGATCGGTTCTGTGTACAAACATCGCTGCTTTTACCTAGCAAGGAGCACTGAAAATGCAGAAGTTTGCAACAATCCAGCAGAAAAGCGGAGGGCTCGGGGATGCAATAATTGCTTACAAAGGGGCTGCTGTTCGACAGTGCAATCTAACCATGCTTCTTTTTCCCCAGTCATTGTGGTACTGTTTGTAACCCTGAAGAGGCAGAAGAAGGAACCCCTGATCGTGTTTGAGGAGGAAGACGTGCGGGAAAACATCATCACGTACGATGACGAGGGCGGAGGCGAGGAGGACACAGAGGCATTTGACATCGCCACGCTGCAGAACCCTGACGGCATCAACGGCTTCATCCCCCGCAAGGACATCAAGCCCGAGTACCAGTACCTGCCCAGGCCGGGGCTGCGGCCCGCGCCCAACAGCGTGGACGTGGATGATTTCATCAACACCAGGATACAGGAGGCTGACAACGACCCCACTGCCCCTCCCTATGACTCCATCCAGATCTATGGCTACGAGGGCAGGGGCTCCGTGGCTGGGTCCCTCAGCTCCTTGGAGTCAGCAACGACAGATTCTGACTTGGACTACGACTATCTACAAAACTGGGGACCTCGATTTAAGAAACTTGCAGACTTGTATGGCTCCAAAGACACTTTCGATGATGATTCTTAACAATAAAGTTTAAGATTTGGCCTTAAGAACTGTGTCCGAAGTTCTGAAGAATCCAGAGGAAATGTAAGCAGGTATTTTTTTAAAAATCAAGAAAAATCTCATTTAAACATTTAAGTTTGACAGAGAGGATTCCTTTGATATAAAAGGACATGAAAGTGGTAAATACTGTGAAGTACCTTTTCCTACAAAAGGCAAATCTGGAAGTTGGCTGCCAGCTTCACTAAAGGAAAAAAACCCACATAAGAAATGCGAAATATTTAAATGAAGGAAAATGCTAAAAGTGAACCTACAAATGAGGGAAATCTTTTATGTGCTATGAACATCTAAATCTTTTATGTCAAAGAAGCTTCCACAAATTAGAAAAGATAACAGTTCTGAGCTGTAATTTCGCCTTAAACTATGGACACTCTATATGGTAGTGCATTTTTAAACTTGAAATATATAATAATCAGCCAGCTTAAACCCATATGATGTATGTACAATACAATGTACAATTATTATGTCTCTTGAGCATCAGACTTGTTACTGCTGATTCTTGTAAATCTTTTTGCTTATTCTTTCATCTTGAACTAATACGTGCCAGATATAAAAACTCTGTCTTGTTGCGGTGGGAGGCGCCCTATTTCTATGTCATTTTTAATGTATCTATTTGTACAATTTTAAAATTCTTATTTTAGTATACATACAAATATCAGTATTCTGACATGTAAGAAATGTTACAGCATCACACTTATATTTTATGAACATTGTACTGTTGCTTTAATATGTGCTTCAATATAAGAAGCAGACTTTGAAATAAACTGATTCTTTTTTAATTCTTGTTCTGGTTATTAAACATATAAAGAAAAACATAGTGTTTCTAATGTCCCATTTATAGTTCTGACTAATTTACTACAATTGTGACCTTTTAATAGCCTTATTTATTATGTGTTTGTAGTTGGTTTGTTGGCTTGTTAAGTGATTATTTAAAAATCAAGTACATTTTACAAATGTTTTTTAGATTAAAACAAATGTAACGTCTAGTGAACATTTTGTACCCTCTCTATCTACAGCGTGTGGCTGCTCCCAGAACACAGTAAGAATCATCATATAGTCTTACTGTGTTTCCTGGATTAAATTAAGTGTAATACTTTTCAGTATTTCCCATGTAATATGCATTTATCTTATATCTTAGAGATTCCCAAGGTTTCAGGGGTGACTTTGTGAGTGAATGGGAGTACTCTGTACTTACACTTTACTCCAGCCTTGTGAGTTTCCATATCTGTGCTGAGCTTCTGCGGGTTCTAGAGACTAAAATCTGACCCAGTTTAGCTGTGACTTCCCTAAGGACTGTTCTACCTGACAATTACCTTACCTTAGTAGTAATTAAGATTCCGGCACTTAATTTTTTTTATTTATTTATTTTTTTTAATTTCCAGTAGAAAAGCATCATCTGCGGATAGGGAGACATTTTAATTGGTGACAACAGAAATACAGAGTGCTTTCAGAGTTATTCTTTGTGATGCATGTTTTTTATCCAAAAAGGGATCTATAACTTTTTTTCTTTTTAAATATTACTTCAGAAGGAGCAAGGGATTGGGATACGTTCTGCACATCAACATTTTCTGCATCTGCGTACAGCTGTACTTCTGCTGAATTTAAGACAGTTGGCTGTTTAGGGTCAGAGATCAGCAGCTACAATATGGGAAGAGGCAATAAACAGAAATTATCTACATTTTCCTACATTTGTTTTACAAACCCTGTCCTTCATTTGCAGTCAGGTACCAAACTGCTTGATCTGAGAGGAAGTCTCATTTGTTGGTGTGTTGCTTTTCTGAAGACCCCCCATATATGTACTTAGATTAAAATTTAACTCCTTAAAATGATGACTGATGTTTCAGCTCTATATCCATAACATATTCACTTTTCCCTTTACATCCCTATGTTTTATAAGGCAGAGTTTGCTAAATCAGTAGATTTGCTCTACAATGTTTATTGTAATATTTCACTTTATTATAGCTGTATTCATTCTATATAATTCTATAGTTTATTATTAACTTTGTTCAAATTTCTTTGGTTGTTGATTTTTCTCTTGTTTATAATCCAAAGAATATTTTGCTAGATTTGCACATTTCTCCATTAAAAATTTAAATAAACATTAAAAAAAAAAAAAATAGTATCACTTTACAAATTAACAAATTGAAATAAAGTAAAAAAAAAAAGTAATTTGTAGAACTCCATCCTCATTGATGCTATCTGGATTTATTTCACTTTTAAGCAGGTTTTAGAATTAATAACTGCATTTTCTACATTTTTATGTTTGATTTTTAAAAAGGACATTGTCAACTACATTTTTTAATAGTTTCAAATGCTTCGAGTTTTAGTCTCTATTGTTTGTAGCACTCTCGTAGATGCTTGGAAATAAATTTTCTTTCCCTGCTGGTTTTGTCCTTTTTCATTTGATTATTTTTCCCCTTTTCAGTGAACATGCAATTACAGTAGAGCTTTTTTAAGTTAGGTTGCTAATCTCAGCCGAGGCCAGCCCCTAAATGCTGGAATTATCCTCACTCCGGACTGTCGGCAGCACCTCGGATGAGCGGCGTGTGTTGGCACCGCAGCAGGACATAGCTTTGCCTTGAACTTCACCACGGCCCTTGCTGGAGCCTCAGGTCTTTAATCTGAGCTTGGTAAAACCCAGCTCAGAACTGCAGCTCTGAGTTAGTCCTGGCACACATGAGAAGGCTGTGGGCCATAGGTTGTTGCAGCATTCCCAAAGATCTGAGCCACCTGGGAAGGGATTCACACGCTCCAGTTGCTTTAGCGCAGTAGCTCTGCCTTCTCTGAGGACAGAGCCTCACACCCATGGAAGACAACTAAACGGGTAATTACAAAGTCTGTAGGTCTGGAGAAAGCCCTAATCACGAGGAGGATCACCACGGCCGAGCCAGGTAAGGCAGGGGATGGAGGCCAGTGCAGGTGGTGCTTTGGCCAGTTTTCCCTCCTGCAAGTCCTGCCTGAGGATCATTTGAGAGGCTGCAACAATGCCTCTCCAAACACCATCAGTAACAGACAACCTGACCTTAGCAGAGGGATGTTTTCTGTAAGCTGAGCAAATACTGAGCTCCAGCTGGCAGAGCTGCTCAGCTCCAGATCTAGCTGGGTGTCACCAGGAGAGCAGGAGGCTGAGGTGCCACTCCCATGTCTCTGCAGTGCTTTGGAACACTGTTCCTCCTCCTGGCAAGATGCAATTAGGGAAGTGTGTGCAGGGCTGGTTGCTAAGGTAGCTCTCCCAACTTGCTCTGAAAGGGAAGGGGAGAGCTTGTTTGGGAATTCTCAGATCACCTCTGCTGTGTTCCTGTCACAATGTCAAGCAGTCTTTGATACCATGTCAAGGGGTACAAGCTTGCCAAGTGAACCACCAGCATTTCTGTAATCTCGGGTGAGATCCTGCCCCAGAGCCTGCTATAACTCAGATGAGAAAAGCTTTTTAAAGAGCTTGCAGATTCTGTTGGCTCCGTGTTGCTAACTGACTGGCAAAATAAAATGCTGAAGTTTACCATGTTGCTGTTTGTAAGCTCAGAGAGAAAGAGAAGAGTAGGAATTTAAATAAGGCTCACAAAGGGACAATCTTAGGGACCCAAAAGAGTGGAATTCTTGTATGTCTTCCCCATCTAGCTGCATTGTCAAAATTACTTTTGTAATGAAAGGGTCAGTAAGCAAAAACCCAGGTAGGAGTTGTGCAAGTTTTCCCTTTGTCTTTTGATCTAAATACTGAGCTACTGTTACCAAAATGGATGAATTGGCATCAGAATCACATTCTGTATCAAGGGGGGGAAAAGGAAAAGGAAAAGGGGAAAAAGGAAAAAGGAAAAAGGAAAAAGAAAAAAAATATGAGAGGGAAAAGCAAAAGGAGTGACTTGGGAAACAGACTGAGCTTTTCCAGGAGTGAGCTGCAGGTCTCTGGAGCTCTACTATTGTTTTCACTCTTTTAGGCTGAGACTGGGGATCAACCATCTTGACCCAGTTCCATTCCCTGCATGCAAGTGCAAAGTTTTCCATTATTTATTATCACTGACTTCTGTGTTTGATAAGAAAGGATCCTTCAGATCTGGCTGAGCTGGACTGTCTACAATTATGCAAGTCATAGAACAATTTCAGCCCGCTCCAATTCATGGATTCATAGCCATTTGAAAACCTTTTTCTTGTATTTCTGCATGAAATCTTGGGCCTTGCCTGCTCACCAACTCTAGATCTCTGTTACTCCCTCCCTTAATGAGCTGCAAATCCCACATCCTCAGTGGCTGTCCTGCCCTGTCCCACAGGAAACTTCATGTGTGTGAACACACAGGGAACTCTGCTGATGCCCCAGACCTCCCTCTCCTGCTGGGGGAGTATGCATGTCAGGGACAGCTCCTGATCCATGTGGGGGTTTGCAGAAGGTATGGAGCATTTCATGTTTCCCCATGGAAAGAAAACACCCAACACAAAGAGGGAGAGACTTGCTTGGACTGAGTGGCTCTCAGAACTCCTTCCAGGTCTTTCTCAAAAGTCTTTCAGACTTCCCAGTGAAGCCAGTTTGTGTTTTATAAATAAATATTATCCGGGGCAGGGAATTGAACTTGATATTTTCAAAGTCCTTGTGAGTTCTCTAACTACCAAACACGAAACCTGATACTTTTTTCCCCCCTTTTGTTTTCTGTACTTGTTTAATCCATTTGCAGTAATTCTTAACTGCATCAACTGAAATACCAACCAGGCTTATGTGTAAAGCATTCCATGGCTGGTGGGAAAACTGCTCTAGAATGGGAAATTTATAGCTGGTGGTGATGGGGAATCAATCAGTCTTCTACCCCACACTGCCAGGAGATGGAATAACCACATCTCTTGCTTTCTGCATTTCTTCTTCCTTTCTTGTTTGTAAAATCAGGACTAACACCTGATTGCTCAGCTATCTAAGTAAGGAGAAGACTTTATCTTGAGTCCTCTTTGCTATGACTGTTTGGCAGACTCTTGCTCAAAGGGGTGCTCTTTTAAAATTAAACAAAATCTTCAAGGTTTAACCTTTAGCAACTCTAAAATTAAAAGGTTTTTTTTGAAAAAAATCCCAAAAACTTGCCCTGTAGCTCTTTTAAGAATTCAATTTCAATTGAGTTTTAGGGCATGCCTTGCATTTTTGGTGGTTAGTGAAAGAGTCTTGGACTTCGTGACTGCTTTGGACTGAGGTTGCTGTTGCTTTCCCTTTTTGTTCTACTTCCAAACAAGGGAAAACATGTTTATTTTAACTGAACAAATCCATATGCTGTTGTCCAGACCTAGCTGCAAGTAAAGGCTCTGTTTTGTTGTTGTTGTCTTCTTTTCCAACCTAAATCATTCCATGAGTCCGTGACTCACTGCATTAGCTGCCAAGGGAAATTTCCTGCAGGTCTGTCTCCAGCAGGACTAGCAGACACACCACTCCTCTCTCCTGCTGAATATGAAGCTCTTCTGTATTGTTCTGTGTGATATATGGAGGGTTTAGGGGACGAGGGTGGGATTCTGTTTGTTCTTTGTGATATGTGGAGGACTACAAAGGCTGAGGGTGGGTTTTTGGTTGTTCTCTGTGATGTATGGAGGGCTTTACGTGCTGAGGTTGGGTTTTTTGGTTGTGCTTTGTGATATATGAGGGCTTCAAGGGGCTGGGAGGTGGATTTTTTCCACCATTGTTTTGGAGCTATGATGTTTTTACTTCCATAATTACAAAAATGGCTTTCATGCTGTGCTCAGTGCCCTGTCTCTGGGTGGTAAGGAGAAGTTTTTCACTGAGTAATAAACTCCCTCCTGCTTGGCAGGGAATCTCTAGAAAGCCCCATTGTTCTCCTGCTGCTGCCACTGACCTTCCTTCCAGAAGCCCATTCTCCCTGCTGCAGCCTCAGCTCACATTTTCCTTCTTCTTATTAGCACACTGGAGAAAGTCATCATTAATCAAATGCAAGCACATTTAGCAAAGTTCAATGTGTATGAAAAATTTATGTCAACCTTTAGGCTCTATGACAGTCCCAAGGCTTCACTTAATAAGTTCCATAATGACTTACTGTTAATGGCCAATCTACATTATCTCTTTGAGGTCTGCTGGGCTTTTCAGGAATATTTTCTGTTATTGATTCTGGACTTGCTGTACGTTGGCCAGACATAGAAACAAAACTGTTGTTTATGTTCTTTGCTTTCTAAAATGGAAAGTTGGATGCCTTAAAGTATAAAACCTCAAAGAACACAATTTTCTCTCTTGTTATGTGGCTCTAGCACAGAATGAATAAAAGAGTAGCTGTTTGTGGGGTCTGGCAGAAGCTCTGGGAAATGACTGGAAATTTGATAAATCTTGTCCATTGATTTAGCAGAAGTCTACGCTTCAAAAGCTCTCCTCATCCATCCATCACCCTTGCTAAGAGTCTTAGAGAAGCTCAGGTACAGAATGGCTCAGCGCCCCAAGTTCTGCAGTTTTGATCACTAATGAATCATAGTTCATTATTAGTTCATCATTATTATCTCAGACATTTAATTTTTATCAGAACTTTATCTGGGTAAAAAGCCTCGGAAAGGCTCCTGACATCCAAGGACTGCCCATTTCTGTGGCTTTACACAATGCTCCAGCAAGTGCTTTTCACTAAGCACAGTCTCTCAGGACTGTTCAGTTCTCATAACTGTATCATTTTGTAAAGCCTGGATCCTGTGTACATGCTCTAGCACGCAGTTTACTGCTGTGAGTGAATGGTAGCACTCAGAACAGCCAGTGTAATGAGGTAGAACTGCTGGAGTCCAAGTGCTCCCACAGTCCTAGAGGCTGATGTGTCACTCTGTGTTTAAACATCATTAGATGAAGCAATATGGACACTCTCTGTGCTCACCAAGG